TAACTATGTACACACAGTTTTGGTGTGAAAAAAAAATTGAGATCTCTGTTCTATTACCATATATACATTTGTTTCACATGCAAACCTTTGAGATCTCTGTCCTTTAGCTATATGCATATATATTTGGCATGAAAACATTTGAGATCTCTGTCATATAACCATATATACACTTTTTTGGCATGAAAATCATTGAGATCTGTCCAATAAAAACATACACTTGTTTGACGTATAAACCATTGGGATCTCTCCCCTATAACCATATATACACTTTTTTGGCATGAAAAGACCAAGACATATAGGACACTAGGATACTTGAGTCACACCTCCCAAACTCCTGGATACTTGTACCGAGGTTATTTAGAAATTGTTATAGCATAACTGTAGAAGTATTTGTATACTTTTACTTTGCAGGAAAATATGAATTCAAATAAAGTAACTAAAATAGATTATGCTGAGGAAGAAAAGGCAAAACAGTGTTTTGTAGAAGAATTATTGATAACAGATAATACAAAAATTACATACAAAAATGTAAATTGAACAGATTTTTAGCGCTTATTAATACATGTACATATTAAGTGTCATCCAACAAATCCTTAGCTGGCAAAATACTATATTGCAGAGAAATCTGCTTGCACTAAACAGTTCTTTTTTTGTCATTTTAAATGTGATTTAAGTATCAGTATTTGACAGAACTGTGGCATTAATTTACATTTTCTGTGTTTCAGACCTGAGTTTGTTAGTCATCAATCAATACTATGGAGGAATCCCAAGACTGGCCAATAACAGGAGTTGTAGTAGTGGCTGATGCAACAAAGTGCCCACCTGGTTATTCAATTGTAAGTGATATGGAACTATAAAGGTTTAATGTTTTTCTGACATCAATACATAGGAGGTGGCTGATCTCTACACCTTTGTGTCAGCTTCATTATTTTCTTTATGCCTTCATGACCCCACTGTGCTATAATGTGAAAAAATGTGCCTGCTCTGTACCAATTGCTCTTCATCACACACTTGTATTACATCCTTAGAAAACAGCTACGGTAACACATTAAAGAACAATATCTATTTCTTCTCGGCTTCAGGTACTGAACCTATTTCTCCCATTAGAATCTCTGACAAGTCAAATGGGGGATACCGAGATGCCCTCTCCACCCTGCTGCCACGGATATATATATATATATATATATATATATATATATATATATATATATATATATATATATATATATATATATATATATATATCCACATAAGGCATCTGATTCCCAAGAGGGATAAATTTTTAGTTCCATCCTCGAGGCATGACAATTCTAAGTCAGATATCACCCTACTTATGGGAATTGAAGGGCTGAGACATACCAGTCTCTGCCTGTATGGTATAAATTTACAGTCCTCTGTACTCCATCCATGAATGACAGTGTTCTTGCTTGATGTGAAGGTGTATTGTTTGACTTGTATGGCTGGCTGTCCAGCCAGACTAACATGCTGCAGTTTGGCCTGTAGAGATGGATAGACAGACCACTCACCATCCATCCATTTATCATCTGCCAATTGCCATTTCTACTGTCAACTGACAACTGCAATAGTCATGTCTTTTTTTTTAATATCTCAAGTGAAACAATCAGCTGGCCACATATTCTGACAGCTGAAGTATCTTACACTGAACATACTGCACAATTAAATCATTCAGCTGGACCAAGCATTAATATACCCCTTCAGAACGAACCGGCTTTATTCATACACCATCTGATCAAGCTATACTGACCACTCTAAACTAGCCTTCTAATATTCCACTACTTTTAATGTCATGTCCTATGGGAACAATTATGCATATCAATGATGTGGCATCATCATTGCACATTGGAAGGCTCTTTCCATGGATCCAAGGTGTTCAAGATGTGAACATTCCCCAGCTGGACAGTGGAGATTAATCATCCGATCTGACAATGGAACAGACAGAATTCAGCTTTACGGTAGCTATAAAAGAAATTGTTTGCATTCTGCATGCGTCTGAATGTCCCCCTCTACCTACCATCATACCTACTTTAGGGTCAAAGCCGCTGATGGTGTAGATGATGGCAACAATTGTCCATTCATTTAGGACATTGTCTCAGTCACCAAAGTTGCAGAAATCACCAGACATAATATCATAGAAGAAATTAGTGATTTGGGTAATGCAAAAGAAATTAGTTATTCGGGTAATGCAAAAGAAATTAGTGATTCGGGTAATGCAAAGGAAATTAGTGATTCGGGTAATGCAAAAGAAATTAGTTATTCGGGTAATGCAAAAGCATTCTTTTCCATGAGTCATCTTACTAGGATGAATGGTTTTTAGGAATACCATGGTGTTATAAAGTGGATCAAGTCTTTAGTGCCACCTCTAAGCTAGTGAGAAATCTTATAGCAGCTTCCTAACTACAGTGTGACCCATCTATAACATGGTAGTTGGGAGCCATAGAACATGACAGTGTTATAGACCAAACTGTGTTATAAGCAACCAGGTAAGTTAGCTTAAAAAAATGATGCATATACCAAAAAAATTTGCGGGTGTGCGTGGGTTAGGTAATGAATGGGTGCAAAAATATGTTGCACAGTTACCATCATAAATTGATCCATATTAAATGAGAAATACACATGTAGTGAAATCAAGGAAGGCATATACAATATTTTACTTTATTCAGAGAACCACACATTGGTACATATACATGTATACTGTTTATATATACATGTCTAATGTATAGCATGAATAGAGTATCAACACCAAGTTGTTGTTGTTGTTGTTGGGCTTAACGCCATTTTTCAGCACAAGATAGGCTATTCATGGCGGCCAGTATTAAAGGAGGAGGAAGAAACCGGGAAATCACCAGAAAAAAACACCGACCCACAAGAAGCTACTGGCAAGCTTTCTCACATATCCACATTCGATGAATCCTAGACTTGAACACACTCAGACAGAGGTGAGATGGCATTGATCCGTAACGGACAGTGCTTTAGACCACTCGGCCACTCGGGGCCCCAACACATACATTGAATGTATAATAAAAGTAATTGCATCAAAAATATGCACACACTGATTTTTATTCAATAATTTTGTCACAGGTAATATAGGTCTTAATTCAGTGGAAAAAATATAGCACAATCACATAACGAATGATGAAGCAAATTTACTTTTCAGTACATCTCAAGTCTGTGTTTTAAACTGTGGTTGGTAACATTCGTAAACATAAACTTTTTACCTGTAAAAAAAACCTTTCATGGCACAGTAAATATGTTCCAGTCACAATGGAAAATGAAACATTCCATCAGATTCTATTGGTTTTATTTAGGTTTGGTACTGACTTCCTTTGAAGAAAGGTTCTTTGTTTTTATTGAAGATTGTAGTAGGTTTTCTTTGATGAAGAATGCATGTGTTATTGAAGTCAGCACTAAAGGACAGCTTTGGAGAACCAAACAAATGCTTGTTTCTTATTGTGGTGGCAACATCAAATAATTGTATTGCATGATTGGTACTGATTATTTTTCCATTTGCTGAGTATGTTTTCATAACAAATTTTGGCTTCAAAGCTTATGTTTTGTTTGAAATTTCAGCAAACTATTTTATCCGGGTACATTTTTTAAAAAAAGGAATTATCCATCATTTGGTCGATTTTTGTTTTTGTTTTCTTCCTGCTTATTCAATAGACTAACAAGTAAGATCTTGTTTTTGTTTTTTTTTAAACATTTGTGGTACTGTAGTGATGTTGCCTTTTATGCATGCATCAGAAATTTAAAAATTTAAAAAAGGGTAAATGGATGATAAAGACCCAGGTTTTCTGGTCTGTTAACAGGGATAACTACAGAAAATGTGAGTGTTCTAAAGGATTTAATTTTGAGTGAAAAGAAGAGAAATTTTACTTTACCATCCATATACAGATGTCAGTCTATGTAAATAGATTAATTACTAGCGAGCAGCCAAAACTCTGATGAAACATAGATTATGAGATAATGTCTCATCCGGTTGATCTCTTCTACCAGATAATTGAAAAAAAGCAGGTATCTCACAGCATACAGTACTCGTGCTAGATCTCAACATAAGCAGATTATGTTTGCTGCATACTTTCTTAGGCCTCTGAATTTCATTTCTCCATTCCAAACCAGTGGTTGTATATACAAGTTTAAACAGCCAACAATGTTGTCAATAAAAAATTATCGCCAGATAGTATATTTTGTCGTCAATAAGGAAAAAAAAATAGCAGTTTGTGACATTGTTGAAGCTATGCATAATTCCTGAATAAATTTTTTACATTTTATATTTTGTACTTTGAAGAAGGAAAAAAACTTTTTTGAGTAGGAGAAAAATGCAAAAAAAATTTCTGGAGCTTTGCCATGATTGTCTTGTATTATTCATACATGATCTCTTCCCAACAATGATAATAAACTTTTTACCCTTTATTTGTACTTTTAAGAAAGAATTTTTTTGTGTATGAGAAAAATACACATATATGAAATTTAGGGAGCCACACAATAATGTTATATCTAAATTCATGTTATAATGGAGCGTGCTATTCTGGGGTCACACTGTACTTAACATCCTTGGGGATCTTTGTTGAGAAGGACAGAAGTGATCACACTAGGGATTCAGTGAGCCATATTGCCAAGGTCATAAATAGGGCTTCTCACCTCATCATGGTTAACACCCTGATTACCTCCTGCAGAATGGACTTCACCAAGATGCACTTTTATATTACATAGTTTTATATTTCTAAAATCCCATTATGGATTTTGTTCATAATTAGATTGAATTATTATGGGGGGGGCATTGGGAACCAAGTTGTCTAAGGTGCTCGCATCTATAGATCACTCACACGTAACCTCAACCAGCATGAGTTCCATTCTCTGTACAACTTAATATATAGGCTGCCATATACTGTTTATCATGCGCTGAAAATTAGCTTTAAAATCTAGTTAATCATTTTGAAGCTGAGACAATTCATTTTACAACATGTTCTGCAATAATACTTGACTGCTCCTGTGGGCTAAGTGGTTAGAGCATCTGCCTTATATGCAGGAGGTTGTTGGTTCAAACCCTGGCTGAGTCGTACAAAAGACATTAAAAGGTGCATGCAGATGCATCACTTGTTACTCAGCATTACGAGGTTTAGTGTTAGGACTGGTCAGCCTTGTTTCTGGATAATGTGACTGGGTGGGACATGATGTGGCATGATGCCCAAAAACTAGACATAACAATTAACTGCCACACTGCAGACATTTTAATGATATGACTGAACAATTGTCAAAAGTTATGTTAAAAGTCCAAATCACATACAAAGCTTCCGTAATGAGATAAACATGCTGGCCACTGGCCTTATTATTATTTCCTGATGCAAACATAGATGTGGATGAAGATGTTTTCGTTATTGCAGTGTTCTTTTCAAGAAACAAAAGAGTTTAGCAAATATTTTTTTCTGCTTTGGAGGAAATAAAGAGAAGACAAAAGTTTCAAAAGAATATATCATGCATTTTTTTGAATCTTCATTTTCAGTGATGCAAGAATATCTTGTGATGATGAATGTTTTGGAAGTCTTATAAATTGTACGTCAACAAAAGTCCCATGTTAAAGTGCTGTTCTTTACTTCCAGATTGACAAAACCTTTGATAGGCGTGAAGAGGCTGACTTGTGGAGGGATCGATTGTTTGGGAGACGAGTCACAAGATTTCTGTGTGTTGAGAGATCTGCACCACAGTTGGTTTGTACTATTTTGATGCATTATGACAAATACCAAAAAGGCATGGTGTTATCATTGTTAATTGTAAATCGTTTAGTCAATCCATCTGCCTCCAAGTTTTTCATTTATGCCAGCTTTTAAGTACTAGGGTGGTGCAGTTACATCCATGGACACATTTCAGGTTTCGTGATCATTGTATTTTATATAGTTAATTTATTAGGAAAAATATTAGTGTAATATGACATAAGTGTAATTGGGATTGTATGGATTAGAAAAACATGCTGTAGACCAAAATGAAACCTATTTAGAAAGGTTTTTGTGGCACTTCTACATGTATTTAAGGCTGTTCCAGTAACATATACGTTGTATCTTCCTTTAGACACTTATAATGTAAAATAGTGTATAATGTACAATTTGATATCATTTTCATATGAACTCTTTAGACACTTATAATGTAAAATAGTGTATAATGTACAATTTTATATCATTTTCATATGAACTCTTTAAACACTTATAATGTAAAAAAGTGTATAAGTACAATTTTATATCATTTTCATATGAACTCTTTAAACACTTATAATGTAAAATAGTATATAATGTACAATTTTATATCATTTTCATAATGAACTCTTTAGACACTTATAATGTAAAATAGTGTATAATGTACAATTTTATATCATTTTCATATGAACTCTTTAAACACTTATAATGTAAAAAAGTGTATAATGTACAATTTTATATCATTTTCATAATGAACTCTTTAGACACTTATAATGTAAAATAGTGTATAATGTACAATTTTATATCATTTTCATATGAACTCTTTAAACACTTATAATGTAAAAAAGTGTATAATGTACAATTTTTTATCATTTTCATAATGAACTCTTTAGACACTTATAATGTAAAATAGTGTATAATGTACAATTTTATATCATTTTCTTATGAACTCTTTGAGTGATCAGAATACCTAGCATATATTTTTCATAAAGTACTGTCACATGCTACTGTGTATGTATAAATGGAACAACCCATACATGATTTAATAGTATATAGAAATCATGAATAGTAACAATGAATTACCATGATTAATAATCATTAATAGTACTTGTGAATAGTAATGGTGAATTATCATGAATAATAATCATTAATAGTACCTGTGAATAGTAATGGTGAATTATCATGAATAATAATCATTAATAGTACCTGTGAATAGTAATGGTGAATCAACATGATTAATAATCATGAATAGTACTTGTGAATAGTGATGATGAATAGTAATGGTGAATTATCATGAATAATAATCATGAATAGTACCTGTGAATAGTAATGGTGAATCAACATGATTAATAATCATGAATCATAATTTTCAGTAGAAATCATAAAGAGTAATGATAAATTATCATGATTAATAATCTTGAATAGTAATTGTAAATAGTAATCATGAATAGTCATAATGAATAGTTCTTATCATGTTCCATGATGTAAAATAGGCCTGATGCTCTCTCTCCTTCATCTTTTAAGAATTATGACTGAAAAGGTGGTGGTTCAGTCCCAGCCATTGTATCAGTCCAGGTCTCATAATGTGGTTTGTCCTTGGGAAAGGCACATAGTCCAATCACCCCAGCACTAAATAACATACTTTTGATCTCCAAAAAAGAAAGAAATCTAATAATATTAGCAATGTAATAGTATTCAGACTAAACATCTTAAAGTGTTTAGACTAGAGGTGTAATTGACTGAGACTAGAGGTGTAATTGACTGAGACTAGAGGTGTAATTGACTGAGACTAGAGGTGTAATTGACTGAGACTAGAGGTGTAATTGACTGAGACTAGAGGTGTAATTGACTGAGACTAGAGGTGTAATTGACTAAGACTAGAGGTGTAATTAACTGCTCTGGTGGCCTAAGTGGTTGAATCCTAGAGGTTGAGGGTTCAAATTCCCAGCTGCATTACGACAAAGATTTATAAAAATGGTGCTACAGGTGCCTCACTTGGTGCTTAGCATTAAGAGGTTAGTGTTAGGACTCACAATTGTGGTGGCATCAGCAACGCTACATGCATCATAGCAATATGACTAAAGTTTTTTTATATCTAAGATTTAAGCAATCCAAATCCAGATCACATGAAATGAATAATTGTTTAGACAAATTAGGTAATATTGTTCAGACTAAATGTGAAATAGTATTCAGACTAAATGTGTAATAGTGTTCAGACTAAACATGTAATAATGTTCAGACTAAATGTGTAATATTGTTCAGACTAAATGTGTAATAATGTTCAGACTAAATGTGTAATAGTGTTCAGACTAAACATGTAAGAATGTTCAGACTAAATGTGTAATATTGTTCAGACTAAATGTGTAATAATGTTCAGACTAAATGTGTAATAGTGTTCAGACTAAACATGTAATACTGTTCAGACTAAATTTGTAGTAGTGTTCAGACTAAATGTGTAATATTGTTCAGGCTAAATGTGTAATATTGTTCAGGCTAAATGTGAAATATTGTTCAGACTAAATGTGTAATAGTGTTCAGACTAAACATGAAATAATGTTCAGACTAAATGTGTAATAGTGTTCAGACTAAATGTGTAATATTGTTCAGGCTAAATGTGTAATATTCTTCAGACTATATGTGTAATAGTGTTCAGACAAATTAGGTAATATTGTTCAGACTAAACATGTAATATTGTTCAGATTAAATGTGTAATAGTGTTCAGACTAAACATGTAATATTGTTCAGACTAAATGTGTAATAGTGTTCAGACTAAACATGTAATATTGTTCAGACTAAATGTGTAATATTGTTCTGGCTAAACATGTAATAATGTTCAGACTAAATGTGTAATAGTGTTCAGACTAAATGTGTAATAGTGTTCAGATTAAATGTGTAATAGTGTTCAGACTAAACATATAATAATGTTCAGAATTTTTTCAAGTTGGACATAAGCAAATTAGGCATACATGAGGAATAATTTTATTCTTCTACAAAGACCTTGTAAATCATGTACAAATTATTTAAATTCTTATATTTTTATGAAACAAGAAAGTATTTTTTAAATATCCAAAATATGGATATTTTCTTTATTCCATGGTGTGTGTTTGATTTCTCACTATCACAAATTAGAAGTCAAGAAAAATATTTTCAAAATCACAATTCAGGCAAGAAATCTGGTCATGTTGAGTGAAATCAGAGTTAATACCCTAGTACTTGCATGTAATTTGTGTACATCTACAAGCAACATAGTGCCTGATCTGCCACTGCACAATATGCCTGTAGATTAGGGTCTGTTGTTTGCTGTAAAAAGTAGTCTTTGTGAAGAAAATATACCAGATCTGCTTTCACACTATGCATTGACAGATCTTGGCATATACAGTTTGCAGTTGGATCCAATGTATACACAAATATGTCCAATGTATCCACAAATATGTCCAATGTATCCACAAATATGTCCAATGTATACACAAATATGTCCAACAAATACACAAATATGTCCAATGTATACACAAATATGTCCAATGTATACACAAATATGTCCAATGTATACACAAATATATCCAATGTATACACAAATATGTCCAACATATACACAAATATGTCCAATGTATACACAAATATGTCCAATGTATACACAAATATGTCCAACTTATACACAAATATGTCCAACATATACACAAATATGTCCAATGTATACACAAATATGTCCAGTGTATACACAAATATGTAGTGTTTGCAGTAAAACCTTGGAATTGACCAAAAGTGATTAATATGGAGGTGACTGTTACATGGAGGTTAATTTTATATGTAATATATTATGTTAGATTTTTTTTTAAAAATGTGCCCTTTTTAAAAAGGTGGTTGTATTAATGAGATATAGTCTGCTGGAACAGCTTTCACTACAAGGAAATTGTCCAAAATATATCTTTGCCACCAGTTTATGAGTTTCATGACTTGATTGTCATCAGGGTTGATCTGTTGTCTCACATGGATGTAATGAATAAAGAGAATATACCAGAATCCGTAGGAATCACTTTTCCTTAGGTACCAGCTACATTCAGATTATGTGTCCAAGTTTTTCCAAGTCATATTTATTCTTACATAATTTTCTGTATTCATCATAAATGTTAAATACTATATCTGTAAAGTTTGTACCCTATTATACTTGGGTTTTCTGTGTTAAGTAGAAAGCTGCTTCTGAGTAATGAAGTTAACCTTCCAGACACTGCACTTCATGGAACGCATGTAAGTGTATCAAGGGATGAAGGAAATCGCTTGATTTAAGGGGTCAAAGGTCAAACTTTCACAATAAAGAGCAGATTTATTGTTGTCAAACTTGATATTAGCTAGTGGTGGCTTTGGCATCCATCTCT